TCTGATGTATCTTGAATAGTGCTTTTCAAATCTGAAGCTATGTCTGTTGAAATTCTTGATAAGTGACTATTTTTCTCCCTGTGTTTCTGTTTCATTAGAAGATTGTATTCACTGCACAACCCAGCAAAAAAAAATAGGATATTTGCATTTTAAAACCTCTACTTTTATTGGCATTTTTTAAACAGCCCTAAAACAAATTACATCTCACTGAGAGGTAGTAGAGATGTTTAGTTTAGACTTTGATGTTATGTTTCTTAAATGTTCAGTTTCTGTGAAACACTGTCAGAATAATGAGAGCTACTTGCTTGATGTGTACCAGTTGTCACTTACAAATGAAGCTGAAAGAGAGATGTCAGGATTGTTGACAGTTGCCTAATGATAAATAATTACTCAACCTTACTCTAGGACATTTAGCTGATACATAGAAATAGCAAAACACAGTTTGGGAACAGGAAGAGCTTGGAGCTCCTGGGAAGATACTCTTTTGTGTATATGTGGTTTGGATGTTTTTGTTGTTTCTTGGATGGTTTTGTATGGTGGTTTTATTTTTTAATAACAAGTAAAATCCTAATTCTGAGATTTTCATCTACCACTTCAGTAACCTTCTGGACTCTGATAAACTGGCTCCGGGCTGTCTCTTGTAACCTCAGTGCTGCCAGCAGCCAACAGGGTTTGGATGTGGCACTTTGAGAGCTGGGCTACTAAAAGATTTCCTCTCTCCTTAGGGAGCTCATTGTCTTTTTGGAGAATAGGCACTTGGCAGGCAAATGAGACCATCACTATTTTATCCTCATCTGTTGGTCACCTGGCCCTACTCATCCTGCTGTCCCAGGCTGGAAATGATAGCAGGGAGTGTCCAACAGATGGGCTGTAGCTTCAGCAAGAACAGGCTGGGCTACACAAGGCTGCAGGCACCAAGTGCCCTTGCTGCATTAGGAGAGGAGAATGCCTCCAGCAATGTGTCTGCCCTAGAACAGGGGCAGGAGCCCAAGGAAAAGCAGGGAGCAGTAAGTCTGCTGTCCCTATAACCAGGCTGGAATGAACCCCTTTTTCTCCATTGGTACTAATTCATGATCTCATCTGGGATGGGAAGGGGCCTCTTAAAGTACCAGTGTAATACTGATTGGTTACAGACATTGCTGTAATGATACCCTCTGAATCAATATTTGCTGCATTTTATCCATAGCATTTTCTGATGATTTTAAATATTGCTGATAGTTTGTCTGACCACACTTTCTTCCTCTTTCCTACATGTAATTAATTTCATGAAATACTCCCTGCAAAACCTGTGTCCATTCACACATTACCTTTAGATTTCATGCGGAATGCCCACACTAGTTTTTTATCTCATCTTTAATACTTACTAGATTAACTCTTCCCTTTGAGATTTTTGGTCAACTTGACATTTCACAAATAAAACTGGATGCTGTAGTTTAGCACGTTTGCTGTGGGTGACAGTAGATGATCTCAGATTAGATTTACATTGATATCCTCTTAGTGCTTATCTGTGGTGTGTGTGCAGTTGCTGAGGCAGTAGAGAGCCTTTCAAAGATGTTTTGTCAATAGTGCTCCCCAAGTGTCATTTGTATCTGTAAACTGTGCATTTGGAACCTGCTGTTCCCTCTTACATTACAGTTAGTGGGGAGCTGAAGGGAGTTCACAATGAAGTTATTGGCTGGTACAGCTCTGTGGGAGTTATTGAAAAGATGAAATACTTGCTGTGTTCTCAAGAGACAGTGGAAAGAAAAAGAAGCTTGTGGGATACCTTAGCAAACCATGTGGCTCCCTGTCCTGTATTAATCACCTAAAAGTAGGCATAGTGTGCTAGGTAAACAGGAGTTGGCTACTCTAAGCAGTGCACTTTAAATCTCCTGTGTTTGGACTTAATTTGTAATAAACATGTGGATGTTTCTGTTGAATCTGTTCCAGAGTTCCAGGTAAACTGAAGCAATTTGTACTAGACTTGCATTCTGGAAAATTGCATAGAGAGTTTCATCATGGCCCTGATCCAACTGATGTAGCACCTGGTCAGGTAAGGTTACAGCAAATACATTTCATTTGGCTATTTAGTAAAGACCTTTTTATTACTCTTTGTCAGAGCTGTACCTTCTGGTATATTTGTACTTTTAACTTCTGTCTTTTGAAAGAGAAAATCTATTAACAGAAGCATAACATTACCACCTTTGCTTGGCTCCTCAACCTTCTCTGGGTAAAGGCAAGGGAGTATCAGGGGTAGTAGGCATTAGGGGTAATATGCCTACTTTTTGCCTTGAATAAGGGAAGAGCATAAGAATATTTCTTTTCTCCACTGAAACAGGAGATCTTGGGCTGGATGACTCTGACTTCACAGAGCTGCTCTTAGGTTCTCCTGTGACTTCAGTGCAAAAGCTGATAATCCATCATAGCTGCATTATTTCCACACAACACACTACTAGAGGGTGCTTCTAATGGGAAACAACAATTGAATATTTTATATATTACCAGTATAAGCAGAGGGAAATTATTAGAGCATCAAGAAAGGATGGGTGAGCAGTAATAGGCATTACTGCTTTTGTTAATGTGGTTGACAAACAGCATTAGCAGTGCTCACAGGCTGCACTTGTCAGTTTGATTTCCTCATGGTTCTTCTCAAACCTTGTCATGTTGTGTAATTACATGCCTGGAAGTCACTTCTGGGATCTCTTCAAAAACACGACTACGAGATCCTTCTCCAGACAAAAGTCAGAAGGCCCTCAGTGTCAGAAAAGAAAGGACATGACCAGTCTCAATTCCCTCTGCTCACTGCAGTCTTCTAATGGTGTCTCTATCAGCCTTTGTATCTTCTTGATACTCCACTCAGCTCACAAGCTTGGGGTCCTGCTGAAAAGTGCAAATTTAACTGTCAGGGAGCATTTTCTCTAGCTTGGGCACCCTCCAAAGCAAGAACTGTTTTTAAACACTTTGTTCAAGGTATACATGGTGTTGTTCAGGGCTCAAAGAGCCACCTTGGTCCCAGAGGAGCCCTGGTGCCCTTGTGCTGGGGAGCCTTGGGCCAATCCATGGCTGAGGGACAGAAACTATTTATAGCTACAGGCTCCTTTTCCTGCTCATCTGCGGAATGTGGTAAGGATGGCACTGCTCTAAGTCGATTGAGTGCAGCCTCCTGTTTCCCTGCTCAAAAGATTTAGAAGTGTGAAAGCCCTGGAGGGCTTGCCTTGGCCAAGAGAATGACTGCTTTTGAATGTTGTCATGACTGGCTGTGAAAACACGTGGGCTGAATTGTCTCAGCAGTAATTCATTTGAGTTGTAGTTCCCTGTGTTTCTCAGAAATTCATTGAGCAACCAGAATTCAGGTCATCAGGAGGAGGGGCAGAAATGAGGGCCGGGACTGAGGCATAGGCCAGGCACTTGCCCTGAGGAGGAGGCTTGGCCAGGGAAGGAGGAAGCCTGTGGAGTCCCTGGATCCTGCTGCCTGCCCGTCTGGGCACAGGAACCAGAGCTGCAGGCTCGCTCTTGTCTCATTTCTGCCTTGAAAAATGCACACAAAACCTGGGATGTTTACCTTGCCATCTCTGCATGGCATCCTGCCATCTTGTGGAAGATGTGGATGCAATGGAAATAAATATTGGCACTCACTAAACTGGAGGCTGCTGTCGTGGGTCACCCATGCCCCTTGAATTGCATGTATTTTTGTATGGGGTGTTTTCTTTTAGTTTCCATGGAAAAGCAATTTTAAAATGCTTTTGCAGTGAAGTCACTTCTGCCCTGGTATATCTCATAAAACACATGCAGGTAAATCTAGAATGTCCCCAAAGCCAGTGGTGGATTAAAGCAAATACACAGTGGGGTACATTTGAAATACTTCTGTGTGACTTGTACAGAAACTCATGTGATGGGCACTGCCCTTGAGATGTTACAGCAAAAGGAATATCCTTAACTGGAATTGCTTAATTAATGTGTGTCTATGTTCCACCTACTTGGGACTCTGAACATACCTTCCAAAAAAACCCCCAACATTTCTGCATTCCCATAATGCTATAAATTCATTCAATGGAGATGACTGATTATTAGTCTAACAAACAATTTTACTGTTTGTTCTGTTTTTCAGCCAATTCAGGATTTAGCAAGCAGCCCACCAGAGAGCTCATTCCAGAAACTGGCACCCAGTGAACATAGGTACACCTTATTGAGGGAAAAAGATGAACTTTAAAAAACTTGAAATAATCTTGCAAGCCTTTCAGACAGCAGCATTGACTTCTGTGTGGTGGAAATAGTAAACCTATATTTTCATAATTCTATGTGTATTTTTATTTTGAATAAACTGAAAAATAATTTTTTTCTCCCCAGGCTTGTAAATACATTTGTTTGGTGGGTCATTCTGTACAGCATCTTTCAAACAGTACATTCTTAATGCTATAGTAAAATATCAGAGACCCATCCAGACTCTTGATCTAACTCTGTAAAACTTTTATAATCCAAATGAAGGTATCCTTGCCAGAGACATGCTGTTAACTTGCACTATCCCATTAAATAGGACTTTTGGGTTGTTTTCTGTGTAACCTTGGTAGTATGTGCTTTTTCTTCTTCTGTGAACAGCTATCCTGGTAATCTATTTCTTTGTCACATTTTTCTCCAACTTAAGAGGGTCTTCTATTCTGGATACTTGGGAGGGGAATAAATTAAAGTTTTACAGAATCTTGTGTGGTGCTTTACTGGCTGTAAATATCTAAGCAATTTAACAATCCAGAATATTAAAATACCAAGTGAGGAGAGGAAAAGTTCTGATGATAATGGCTGTATTTTGAATGAAGGGGCTGTACTGACCTGCTCCAATTTCCTGGAACTCAGATTGTTATGCTGCCCACGAGGTTGTGGTAAAGGGACAGGAATGTTAAAAACCTTTCAGAATCAGAGAGGACTAGGACTGGACTGGTATCTGAGTTTGTCAGTCCTAAATTTTTATCTGTATGTATGTAACCATTAGTCTCTGGATATCTTGGGTTTGTTTGCTGCCTCCCTGGCAGACACTGTTCAAACAACCATTGCAAATTTTCCGTTACTCTTTGCCTGGCTTGTGCCTCACTTATTGTGTACTCTTTGAATTCTGTTCTGAAGAAGGAATTACCGTTTTCCTTGTGGCATTCTGTTATGGGCTTTCCTCAATGAACCTTCAAACTGCTGGGTGAGGTAAACATACAGTAACTGTGAGAGGACAGAATATCTCTGGATTTGTGCTGCATTGCTGGAGATTACTGGATTTGTACCCTTACGGCACAGACTGTATGTCTGTGACTTGGGCCCCAGGGCTCAGTGTCCTTGGAAGCAAGTTTGTTCTCTGCACAGGTGGAACACTGGGTTCTGGTTTACTTAGGAAAGTGCCCCAGCCTGTGCAGTCACTGCTCAGGACCATTTTGCCTCTCAGATTGATGCCACTGGCTCAGTTATTGACAGAGGACATGACACAGTGACATGGTCCTGAGCAGCTGTGGCAAAAGTTGATCCCATGACAGGCTCCTGACTCAAGCCCCTGCAGCACCAGGCTCAGCAGATTTCTAGGGAGCATTTCTGAGGACAGAGTTGCTGGTACTACACTAAGCTACAGCTGACTATGCAGCTGCAGAGTTGGGAGCTAAAACAATATTGCAAAGCTTTATTTACAGCTATACTTTTTTGTTGGTTTTGTGAATCTGCATTTTGGAGTGCACATAAAATGCTTGAAAGCCAGGTCTTCTCCTGCCCCATTCTCCATCTCATCACAAATCAAGCATTTTTGGCAGCTGAGTCATACTGCCTTCCAGCTGAAATCAAAAGATGTGAGCAGGGTGTGGTTTTAAGGCTGGCACTTATTATCTGCAGGTTGTATTATGCAACTTCTGGAGTTCCGGCACCTGAAATTTTAGTCAATTATTACATGATACCTGCAAGTACTTACCTTACCCCTCTGAGGTTCCTATTTTTCCTTGAGATTCTTGGAGGAATGGGATTTATAATTGCTGTTTGGTGGAAGATATCTAAACTTCTCTTTCTGAAGAGAGCTGATCATCATCCACCCAAGCAGTCCACTGGCTGGTGCTCTCAGCTAGGAAGTGAAAGAGATGGGACCCCTCTGCCCTTCCTTAATTCAAGTTTGCTTTTGAGGGTAAGGACTTGCTCCCAGAGCTTTGGCATCCCCAGCACTAGGCTGAGGGTTAGATGTAACAGTTTTATGACAGTTCATCCTCAAGTAATTTTGGTGCATTCATTGGAGTTGGACCTGATTCTCCTGAGTTCTTGATGACCACTGACCCAGCTGCACCAGCGCTCGAGTCCCTTTTCTCTTTGCAGGCAGGAGGTTGCACAGCTAAAGCTGAGCTGGGCTTGCCCATTCTGCTGAGGGGCACTTGAGCCTTTACCTGGGAAAGCCAAGTGCTTCTCAAAAGCCAAGTTGTGTTTCAAATTGAGCCCTTGCACTCTGAACATCTGCATCTGTGGTGTTAACCATTTGGTGCTCAACTTCCCACTCCCTTTAACACTTCTTACAGCTTTTCCAGGAGAAGCTGTCAAAAATATTAGTGTTATCCCCTTAGGGAACAAAACCATTCCAAACTGTGTTTCACTGAACTTGAGTCCGTTTCTGAGCCGCTGTGTGTGTATGAGTTACTGGATTTACTGACATTTTAGGAACTTCTATTCATTTCAGTCAATGTAAATATTTTGATGGCTGAAGTATGTGTTTGGGAACTCATTACAGGATTCTTGTATCTTGGTAGTGCAATTATTTTAATAATGTAAAATTTGGGAGGGATTAATCTTTTAGATGCTGAAAGTAAACAAACCCTGGTGTTCTCAGTAAATGCTCCAACCAGTCTCGTAGGCAAAAACTTTTATTTCATCTGAAAGAATTATTTATATCTTACAATTCTTCTGAGTAACATGCCTAGCAATTTAATTGCTAGTTTGGTTACTCACATGCTGATGTTTCTTTGCATATGTAAATAATCCACCTATTTTAAAATATCATAGCTTAAATAACAGTCTCCCACATCTAGTGTGTACACAATGATTTCAAATTGCTTCCACAAGGATGCAAGGGGGAAGAATAGTTTCTGTAGTAGACATTTCATAAAATGAATGCACACCAAGCTGAATTTGTATAAGCTGGGGCAGAATTCAGTCTTATGAATTTAGATTGTCCTGGCGTTATTCCAGTTTGGGGGGGAGAGGATGGAGTCCACAACATTGCTGATGTGGCTGTTGTCATTTAAATGCACGAGGTTTCACAGCATACAGCAGGAAAGCAGAGAGCACACTTGAAGATCATACAAAAAATGAACCAGTTTTTGATTAAGAACACTTTTTTTCTTAGTGTCTTCCTTTAAATGTAGAAAATAAATATCAAAGGAATGAACACCCTTGCTATGAAGTTGTTACAAGCTCATTAACTGTGTTTACATCAGAAGTAGAGGCATTGAAAGGAAAGGGCTTTTTGCCTGTCAGAAGCAAATGAGCTGAATTACTCAGGTCATGTTTTGCACTCCAGCTGATTTTACCAGTGCAGGCACTGAGGCTTTAACACATGCAGTTTTGACAATGTCTGCAATTACTTGTGAAAACTATTCTTGCACACATTGTTTCCCTGAATCTCAGACCTACTTAAAATAGACATAATGCTCTGGCTGATAGCAATTTCAGTATTTTAAAAGTAATAAGGAAGCACTGCTTAGAAGAAGTTATTTGTGCTGTAACTAACAGTTGCTTACAATGTCTCTAGGCACAAAACCCCATCATCTGTCATTAGCAGACAGTGATTTCCAGTGATGATATCAAAGTACTGGTTATTGAAAGGGAGCTCTTTCTATAGTATACTTCCCTGGACCATGTTCCCTGCTAGGGAGCCTTATCTCAATACTGACTTCACTGTGCATCTAAGAAAACAACTCAAGCAGAGCTCAGGATGAATTGACAAATCTAAAAACTTCAAAAAGCAGCTTCCAACCTCAATTTCCGTTCCCCCAAATAGTAGCAGCAGTAGTGTGGGAAGTGTCCTGAAAGGGTGGAGGTAGGACCATGTTCAGAACAGTAAATTATGTGACAATTGTACAATTATATAACAATAACAACACATTAACACTTTTGCATTTAACAATCAAAGCTCCAGAAGCAAAAGGCTTCTTAAGGAGGGTCAGATAACAGGTGTCCACTATAAAAAGCAAGCAAAAGAACTGCCAGCATCTCACCCCATACAGGCTCCCCAGCATGTCCCAAAATCTTGAAGAGGCTGAGCAGCTACACTGCAGTGTGGGTGGAAGCAGAAGTTTTGGCACCGGAGAGCAATGCAGGAGTGCAGCTGCCCAAACAGGCGTGGTTTATGCCGTAAGCTCTATCAGGTTCACATTTCCAGCCCTGTCCCCACCTCTGGGGCTGCCAGCTGGCACTGCCGGTGTGAAGGGACCTCCCTCACTGCTCCTCTGCCGGCCCGGGCCTCACAGCAGCCCTGAGGGACAGCAGCCCGTGGAGGGAGCGGGCCTGGCTGCAGCACTGCCCTCCAGGGAAGCTGTTCAGCTCTCCCACCAGGGCGCTCTGGGCTCCAGGAGAAGCAAAGGCAACATCCTGCAATAAGTGCTGCTTCCACGTGGGAGGCTTCAGGTGCAGAATGCCAGAGCTGGGCTCTTCATCCTGTAGAGTGTTCTCAGCACAAGCCAAGGAGCTGAACAGCTATGGAAAATTATCACCCTCCAGTAGCAGTGCTGCAGGGTTGCTGCTTAGACTGTTCAATTCACAATTACACTTTGAGCCAGGTGGGGAGTTTACAAATCAACTGCCTTGCCTGGAAAGGGGAGAAGCTGCTTCCAGTGCTGATGTGATAAATACATAACTTTTTTCCACTTTGCTCACTCACATTCTCACCTTTTTGTACAACAGCACGTGCTTCCCTGTGTATTATTAAACAGGCATAGTCAGTCATATCCTGGGGAATAACTGGAAGAGTTTGGGAATCCAGATAAATTAAGGTAAATTTAAAATACTATGAGTGTGAAAGAATGATGGCATTTATTTCCTTTTCTTTGGAGCACTACAATAAAAGCTCCAGCTTCTCATGGCATTCATGGGAAAGCACTAGGATTTTCCAAGTATCTCTTTGCATTGTCTGCAAGACACTTTGTGCAAATTTGGCATGAAGCACCTGTCACCCACTATTACAGCTGTGAATATAGCTTACCTAAGAATTATGTAATTAAAAGTTATCCATATAATTTTCAAAAGACTGATGTCACCGTGTCTGAAAAGAGAAATTCTGACACGACTTTTTCAGCCCTCCCAAGGAGCAGAACTGTCCTCAAAATTCACACAACTCAGCCTTGTATATAAAGCATAAGGCTGCAAGTCTGTCATTAGCTCAGCTACTACACTGTTATTCCTGGCCATAATGAATCTATACTTCAGCTGGATTTTTTGGCACTTTGGTGAGAAAGCTCTGGACAGCTGGAAGAGACCTGCTCTATCATTTTTTGTTTTTTTCTTTGTATCAATTTTCCACCTGTGAAGCCCAAAATCCCACCGCCAAGTGCAGCTGCAATTCCTGCTACTTTGAAGCCTGCAAGGAGACCAATAGGACCCCCCACCACTCCACCAATGACTGCACCTGCCACAGGCAGAGCTGCCAGCTTGTATTTTGCAGCCTGTAAAGGAAAAAAAAAAAAGTCAGAATTCTTGCCTGTGGCGATGTGCATTTTCCCCTCACTGCTCTTGGCAATGACATGAATGCTCAGTGATAAATAAACTTTACAAATTAGTATTTAAAAAAAGTATGACGGAACATGCTAACACCAATTCAAAATCCTGTCTTGTGTGTGCAGTTGTGAACCAAGTCCTTTCACGTGGTTCTAGCCACTGTGCACACTGGGTGTTACCTGGTCACCATCCTTAAATCAAATCAGAAACTGAGGAAATGCTCAGATTTTTCAGTGATGGCTCTGACTGCAGCTTTGGGGTTTATTTAGCAACTGACATGGAACAGGATGGCAATGACAGGTTATGATCAGGCTCTTGTTTAATGTTTACATGATTCTTGTGAGCCAGTCACTGTCTGCACTTGTCTTTGCAGGTAAAACAAAGTAACCATCAGAATAGTGTTTCCAAGGCCCCCCCAAATTAAATAATTGTATTTTCTAGCAGCCTGGATGTGATAGAAAATTACAAGAGAGATTGATTTTTTTTTTTCCCGGCTACCTGTGGGTCATTTCTTCTTTATTTCCTTAATTGCTGGTTCCCTCAGCATTAAAGACGGCAGATCAATGGGGTTAATACAGAGGGTGGCTGCGAGGCAGAGCACCATTGATTCACCAGCAGGAGCAGATCCCTACCTTCCCCAAGTTTTTGGTTCCCTCTTCAACATTCGCAGCAGCACTGTTGACATGTTCTTCAATCCTGTCAATCTTCTCCTGCTGGGACTAGATGCAAAGGAATTATGAGTGAGGGAACCTGCTGGGAAGCAGCAGTGAGCCAATACACACCATTTTAATGCCTGTAATCAGGGCCCCACAGCAGCTTTCATCTGCACCCGGCAGCCTTAGTGGTGCTCCATGATTAGCATCTGCTCAACTCTGCTGAAGCTACAGACTAACTTCAAAAAAATCTAAACTATTAAGTAATAATATGGGGTGGATATTAAACAATGTCTTGCTGCAGTTAGAGAAAACAACTCAAAATGGTTTCTAAATCTTTCCTATAGATAGAGGAATTCACAGTCCAAAAGGAAAAATAATCCAAAGTAGCCTGTTTTGTTTCCTGCTGAGTCTCACGTTCAAAAAAATTCTATAAAGGGCATTTATAAGATCAGTACTAACTCCAATATACAAAGCTGTATCAAAAAATCTAAGAAGTATTTAATTATGACATTATAGAACAATAACTTCAGAAATAGTGACAGCACAGAAAATACACTTGATGTTGCTCTGTATTTTACTGTTTGATTTTACAAAAACATTCCATCCTTTCTCCAAATGCAGTCAGTCAGGTTCCCCTGCAGTCTCTCCCAGGGAACACTGGAGCAGAAGATAAAGGGGTTTGTGGGTTTGTTTGTTCTTATTCTAATCTACACAGGCTGGTTTATGTCACAAAATAATGAGATGGCTGATGTGCAGCTTAAAATAAAAGGCATTCTGAACTTTTTGCCTCTTTCTAAGTCAGAAACTGCTGAGTACACCAGCTCTGGTATTCATCTACAATGCAGTCCACCCACCTTAAATGCTTGCTATTATATCTAATGATGGTTAAGTGCAAAATCCAGTAAGTCCTGGGAACAGGACCTCTGCCTTTAACCTTTAGAATACTGAATGAACATTTTTGCAGTTCCTCTCCAGTCTAATGGTTCTTACTTGGGTATTTTTGTATAGATGAAGCAGCACATACTCAGCAGAAAAGATAAAAGCTAGGTTATTTATCCCTACTAACCCAATAGCAAGGAGATTAAGAACTCCTAGGAGATGAGAATTGTGCATTTAAATTCCCTATGGCACAGGAAGAGCTAACATTGGGAACCGACATTTTGGCACTGCGGTGAGAGCAGAGAAAGGGCATGGTAACAGTGAGGATTTTTCTAGCACTCCTGATTAAGTGAGAAAAGAAACCTGACAAACGCACCCTGTGCAATAAGAGCTGTCACCACCATTACAATCAGAAATTGTAAAAACTAATAGGACCTGGGTAGAAGTCTGCAATCAGCACAGCAGAGCTTCTGCTGAGGTTCAGCTCGTGGCCATGTGCACTGGCAGGAACATCACAGCTGCTCCACTGACAAGAATTTGGGAGCAACTCCCAGCACTAGTGCTGAAAGAGGAGACTGCTGCCTCCTCAAAGTGTCACCTTGGCAGAGCCTGAATCACAGGAGAGATACATCCTCAGCATTTTTGTCCCCACCCAACCCCACCTAGGAGTTACCCATGCACCCTGTTTTTGTGGGAGACTGTAGGACAGAATGCAGAATTAATACTTACACAGACTAAGAGAGAAAACTCAGTCACCAACTGGCTGAGCTCAACCAAGTCCTGCAAATAAAAAAAAATGTTATTCTGTGATAGTTGCTAAAACAATGAGCACCAACATGGCAGGGAGGGAGTTCCAACATACCCCTTCTAAACTTTCCCAGGACTCAGCTGCATTTTCTTCCTGAGGTATTTCCGGAAGGCGGGAGTAGATCTGGATCAAACTTTGGGAGCCATCCTTCACTTCTGTGTTATATAAAGTTTCTGAAAGAGAAACATGATGTTTATAAATAAATGCACTGAATGCAGGTGGTGTGCAGAATTTCTCGCTCCTGAAGTTTCTCAAGGGTAAGCTGATACTTAACCTGATTGAAGCCAAGCAACAGCCCCAAAAATGATCATATAGGGAGATGTCTTACAGCACTACACAGTTTCTTAAAAGTATGTTATTGACAAAGAAATAGATTCATTTCTATCAGCACATTTTCACAACCAGTCCTGAAATGATACTAAATTATACTCCTGAATTAAAGGTCATTTAATTCATTTTGTATCGACCAGGCTGAGAAAACTGGACTTGGGACAAAAACTTTTCATTTACGTACAACACATAAAAACACTGTGCTCCCAAAACTGAACAGACAGTTACTCATTTTATGATTGATTATTATGCTACTGGTTTGATTTTCAGCCACTGAGAACTAAAAGATGCTGGAGGAAAAAGCTTTCAAAGCAAAAGCAGTGAAACCCAAGTAATGTGGTACCCAGCATTCCAAGCTGGATCATTTGAGTAAATGGTACTGTAAGGATGGCAGACATTTGCAGCTCAGTGCTGTACACGAGATATTCTCGAGTGTGTTCCTCCCTAAATCACCTGACTGAATGCAGAAGGCATTTGGACAAAGTATGGTGTTAAAAATGGGGAATGACAGACAGTGAGTGGCACTGGGGAGAGCAGATACATGAACAGGCTCACACAGCCCTCCTCCAGTCACTCCAGAGCCACTGCAGAGGGCATGGACATGCCTGTAATTGTGGACAACAAATTGAGGGGCAAGAAAGAAAAATAACAAACAAGTCTGGCTTGTCAATACAAGGACTTAGGAAGAGCTTGGGGGTCTGGAAGGCAGACTGGAGAAGGTGTACATGTAAACACAGTGCAAAGATCATCTCAATTCCAACAGCTTCAACTTCTGAAGGGGGATCGCTCCTTCAGCAGGACACTGGTGTTACCTTCCTTGGGAAGGCAGTCCCAAGAGAAAGCTTATTATGGGGAAGGCTGGTTAGATACATCTAACAATACTAAAGTGTAAATATTGTATTAAAATCTTTAGATGCAATGGTTGTGCCAAGGTACAATAATAATATTATATAACTGTTACAACAACAGATATGTCCAATGGAAAACAAATAAATATAATCATATTCTTAAAAAAATCAGTGCATGCTTATTCGTGGAATTAATTTAAGACAAAATAAAAATTATACATTTTCATAACATTTGTCCATTTCTCAACATTTTTATCCCAATATCTCAAAATAGATGAAGGACCCAATCTTCCTACTCTCAGCTCAGTAGAAGTCTAACATGAATGAAATTGATATTTACACAAAATTATTAAGTGAGAAGAGTAACAAGAAAGCACTAAGCAATTTGGGGGCTTGACTTGGGCTTGTTTTTCTTTTTAAGTATTTCTGCCCCTTTTCCTTTAAGAATCCAGACACGGAAGGCACTTCATGCTCTACAATCATCACCTGTTCTTCCTGAACATATTTTTGATTAATAACCTCAGATTAATTAATGTTGTATACTCAGTACTAAAATATTCCTTTCCCCTTTCAATACAATTAATTATATATCCAAATGTGTGCATTTTTTGAGAAAACTGTTCTGCCACATACTCTGACATTTATCACGGGTTCTGAGGGTTTTATTTCATTTCAATCCTACACAATCCTATTTCAAAATAAAGTTTCTTCTGCCCAGAAAGGTGTACTCTTCCCTAATCAACCACATGCATGCTAAGTTGGTTAAAATTAAATTATTCATAATTCAAAAGCAAAATAAAAATCTCACTAAGCAAAGCTGCCTGCTCCCAAGACCTTGCTCTGGTCTGTTCCTAACAATCTATGCTGACCTACTGTAGAAAAGCATATCCTTGAAAGTGTTGTAAAACCAAGGTTTTGCATGACACACATTCCAAAGAAATTAAAACTGTAAGTAGGTTTACATGTTACCATTTTGTAGTAACTAAAAATCAGTGAGAAAAAATTCCTCATGAAAATTCTTTATTCGCTTTAAAAAAACTAAAGAACAGGAAGGGCAAGAGGTGGTCACATTTGGGCTGAAAGTATGAGTAAGAAATTTATATTCACTACTTCACTTTTTATCAAGTCTAACCAATTTTAATAGAATTGAGAATGGAAGTGACTCTACCAGTTCATTTATACAGCATCTCCACAGAAATACAATAACACAAAACACCTCTGCAGATTTCACAGAGGAGCCTTACACCTCATTACACTCAAGATAAAAATCTAATGCTCTGGAAGATCCAATATGTCGCTTAAAAGATTTTAGTAATTTTAAGAGTGGAGTCTCACCTTTTGTTAATATTTGTTTAATATGCAATTAAATTCCATTTCTATTGGCCCTCAGTTGAGGATGGTGAATGGGGGAAGGGACTGTATCATATCACTGACATGCCTTCTAAATGGGAGATTTGAATTTGTAAACTCCTTCCTTCTCTAGCAGATGGGAAGCAACGTGCTACAAAGAACGGGCACGTATTGAACTTCCTTTGATTAAGATCAACAGCCAAGATGTGCTTTCAGGACTGCAGCCTCTAAGCACAAAGGAATAGGCAATACACTGTGGCTGGGTTAGCAATTCAACAGGGCTGCTTGCACAGGCAGGCAAACTTGAAAAAAAAAACTATTTAATTGTATTTAGTTGTCTGTCTGTCTGTTTCACTTTAAATGGGGTGAATTATTTCCACATTCCTGAGCAGACTTGCAGATGCCTGTCATTCCTGTAATATTTCTCCTGTTCTTCTCATCTTCATCATTCTAATAAATTTATTTGTCCTTCTGAAGTGCTGTTATTCTCAATATCCTCTGTAGTTCAAAGGTATTTCAGAAACAGTCTTGTACTTTGAAATTAAACTCTAGTTCTCATTTGCTACCTATGTAATTGTGTAAAAAACAGAAGCAGTAAGCCAGAACAAAGCCTTTCCAATGAAATATTGGAATGAACTGAGAACAACTGCAGAAAGTCACCAAGAGAAGAGATATCCTAAATTTAGTTCTGATCATAACAGTGAAGAGCACACAAAGAGATTAAAATTAATGGCCAATATATATGAAGGGAATCACTGAATATCAAAGACAATGAGCTCTCCACAAGAGAAGTCAACAAATTGGGTAAACCTATTAATAGAAATTATGTGGAAGAAGTTCCTAAAAGAAAGGACTGCAGAAGTGCTGGCAGACACTAAAACCAGGCTGTGCTGAAGAGGACATCAAATTGTCCTGATGCAGAGGAAGAAGTTTATGGCTTCAACAAGAGCTCTTCAATGTCCTGGACGTCAAGAATTTGACATATAATATGAGTACAAGTTAACATATAAGAATGGGAAGTTAATATCCGGAAGACCAGGGCATAAATATATTGCAACTACCAAGAGGCATAAATGGTAGCAAGAAAGTTCCTGTGAATGTTTTTGAAATTAGGGGAAGACCAAGGATGTGGAAGTTCATTGCCAGATAAAAAGGTGGCTTTAAGCAGGTATTTGATGCAATTAATTTAAATAAGAAAGAAAGAAAGAGGCTGAAACATAAAGAAAACAGGTTAAAGATATTTGGATGAGCTAGGTCTGAAGGTTTGATGAAATTCACTCTAGAGCATTTTTAAAAAACAGCCTTTGAAATTTCATGCATATTTTTGAGAACTTGAATAAGGTGGTCCCAGAGGACTGCAAGAGAAGAGACTTTGAAATCATGACGATATTAGAACCAACTACTGAACAACTAACTACAACATGTTGAAGGTGTTCAAGAGGTTGAGATTTTTATGTCAGAAGCCAATTCAGTTTATTCTGCTGGCCTTGTAAGAGAGAAGTTTTTACAATGGGGGTGGTGAGGCACTGCCACAGGCTGCCCAGAGAAGCTGCGGATGCCCCCATCCCTGGAAGAGTTCAAGGCCAGGCTGGATCTGAGCAGCCTGGTCTGTTGGAGGTGTCCCTGTCTATGGCAGGAATCTAGATGATGGTCCAAGGGTCCCTTCTAACCCAAGAAGGGATTGTGTCTGATTCATCTCCATGTTCACAAGGTTTTCTGATACTACTGCACATGACATTCTTGAAAGCAAGCCCGGTTGTCAATTCTCTTTTTCTCCCTGCTCAACCACGAGGCTCACTGGCTTGTTAATCACACTTGAAAAGAGTTCTTGTAGTTCTGCATGCAGCAACAAGAATGGTCATGAAATCAAATCTGACAGCAGGTTCTTCTACAGTGCTACTGCCTGAGAATGCTCTTTCAATTTTAGGACACATGAAATGCTCAGATCATTTTAAGTAATACTGCTACTGCAGCAATCAAATTACAGATATGGGAAGGGTTTAATCCTGATGGAACCAACCTTCTCACAGATCATCAGGACAGAGCACTAGCCAGCACCAGGGCATAACAGAGACTTCTCCTGAAGACAGAATGGTAGAACAAAGATCAAAAGATATTTTATACAGAAAGGATGGAAGACCAGCAAACATATCCGATTTCTAGCATATCCATGGTATGTTTTCAAAATCCTTTATTTAAATGGATTTATATTCCTTTCTTGTCAGTTACCAAGTTAAAATGTTAAAGGAGGAGATGTTCTTCCTTACCTAGGAACTTGCTTCTCTTTTTCCATATATTTCATCAATGCTGTATTACACTGTCTATCGTATAAAAATCTTCCTGGTATTTCTTCAATTCAATGAAAATGGCCAAAATTATTACTTGCACACAATCAAGTGATTTGCAGGGGGGACAAAAGAAGCCAAGCTACCTTGAAACATAAATGAAAGTATTCTGCTTCCTATGAACAGTCCACTATTTCAAGATCCAGGGGTCCAGGACCTTTGCCACAGAAGGCCAGAGATATTTAATTTTTTAAGGTATTTAAGCATTTTCTGCTTATCAAAATTCAGTCACAGGGCTGGTAAAAGTGTGGTATAAGGAAAGAAATCTACTTCTTCATTAACAATACTCTTCAACTTGTTTACTTCATTTATATCTGGCCAGCGAAACTGCATACTGGATACGACAGAGATACAATAAATACAGAAATTAAATTCTACTACCTTCTCCTAGAGTTGCAGATCTGGTTAAAGAGGCATCCTCCTGTCCTTTGAGTTGCCTTTTAAGTTCTTCTGCAGATTCAGAATGCAGCTGCAGGAAGTCCTTAATGGCAACTGAAGCTTCCTCTTTAATGGGATTTATCATTCTCTGCAGAACTGGGATGTCTTCCTGCCGCACTCGCAAACACAACTTCTCCATCTCTCGCATGTTGGCACGGAGCTGCTGCAAGAGCATTAAGAGTTATTTTGTAGCTGACTGTGAAAACACCAGATGCCTTCAGTGCCTGGGAAGCACCTATCCTCTTTATAATCAAGGGAGAAACATTTTTGAAGCCATCACCACCACTATTTTGAATTTTTCTGGTTGTTGTTTTTGTACTTTATCCACTTCTCCAAGTCAGTTTGGTTTATTTTGGGTTTTAATTAAAGTATTTAACTAATTAATTCATTGTGCAATTGCTCAAGTTATTTCTGTTTCTCTGGTCAATTTAAGTCTTTGCCAAAATATTTACACAAGTTGCAACAAGTTGCAATAATATCTTAATAAAGTAAGTGAGTGCTTCTCAAAATTTGCTTTTTTAATAATAATAATTATAAATAATAAGCGACTATGGTGGTCACAGGACCTCACAATACATTCATAACCCCCAACTATCCCAAAACTTTCATTTTGTGAAGACAACTTCAGGGACAAAGGAGAAGGACGACTTTTTTATTTGATGTTTTTTTTCAGATGAACAAAAATACATTTGATTGGAATATCAAATGTAATAAGACATGTAAATACTTCTTTAGTTACAAGCCTTCTGAGGAGATATAAACTGTTCACAACTAGCAAGAACTGTATGTGTACAGGCCTTTCACATGAGATAAATTCTTTCTGCATTAAAAATAAAGGAGCTTTTAATTGCCTGGGCTTTAAAAATACACACAAATTTTCTTTTCCTACAAATGCAAAGACAAAATTTACAGTTTAAATTACACCACTTACTGTTTTAGGACAGAGTTTTTATCTAATTATAAAAAAATACTAATAAAAATATATTCTCTGCATTACTTTACAGTGACACAATAAATTCTATTCTTTGTCACATTATTTACCAATTAATTTGAATATTCTTCTCACAACAGAGCAAGAGAATGGATTGACACCAATGAGTGGTTAGAAATAGAAAGGTTTTCTTCCAGAATACAAATCAGGTACAGATCATGCCTTAGAGAAGTAAAACTGACTATCTGGAAAAGCAAGATCTAGATGGAACTAATTTTATTTATATACACTAGTGGAATTAATTGCTTTTAGTATTTATAAAAAAATAGTAGAAAACATAATTAGAGAAGAAGGAAGGAAATTATTCAACAACCTGTTGCACAAGCTTCCAAATAAAGAACTATTGATTTGTAAAAATCATGCGGCAAATTACTAAGATTAGATTAGATTATGCTGTATGCTTAAATTAAGAGTACTATTAGCCAAATCAGGCTGCATTATTCAAGACTAACCTCAGGTAAAACCACTGATTGACAATTAAAAGAAAGAGAGACAAAAAATACCCCCAACTGTGGAAGACACTGAGTTGAATTAGAAACATGGTAGCCAGTAACTTTCCTCATCCATCCCTCATCTCAGTCTGCCTCCTGCTTCCTGGTATCTCCCCCCAAGTGAGCCCCTATGTACCCAGAAAAGGAGAACGTCACCATTTTCATGCTGCACCATGTGCCAAAATTCTTGGTTTATGGAATCTTGGAATTTCATTGAAGTAACGAAATGGGGACTATCAAAACACAACACTCAATCATCTAATTTCTAGAACTATATGCAAGGGACTGAGGTTGATAATGCAGTTTTATTTCAGTAAAGAAAATTATTACTATTATCCTGTCTTTGGCAACAATTGAAAAAAAAAAAAAGAGGCATGTCAAATAAACAAAAACTACTGAAACAGTGACAACAATGAGTTTGGGGTGAGATAACAACGGTTCCACAGTAGCTCCTTGTTCTTTTAAAGAAAAAGGAGAATTTTGCAGTTGAAATTGAGTTAAAATGTAGTTCTACTTGGGATCTGTACCATGGCAGCTGCTGCTGGGGCAAATCACAAGTTTGTGCAGTGACCAACACAACTGGCTGATGGAAGTTTGCACAGATCCTGAACAGAGGCTTAAAGAGGTATGAAGTACTCACCCTAAGCAACGATCCAGATAATAAATAATAAATAAATAAATAATAAATAAACCAGATCCTCACTTCCACTGCTCATTATTATCTTGCTAATCAAAGAGAAATATTTCTAAGCAAGAAGATGGAGGAATCAGATGATGATATTAGCCTATTTAGTGAAATTTAATTTTAGGAGCTCTTCCTTTGTGGTTTTGTAGGGAGGACTTGTGTTCCACTTACTGTCAATTAAACAGAAGGTGAATGGATTCAGCCTAGCAGGAAAGTTCAGTCCTGCTGTGAGGAGTCACATCCCAGGAGCTCACCAGGGTGTAACATCACAAATGTTATGGATATGCAAATGACTCTGACTTCTTCTCATAATAATTTTAATGGCACTGAGTTTAATTTCTAGGTAGAGCATGAAAGTGTATCACTTTCATCTCAACTGTTTGCACTTTTAAAACCAAGATTATTTATCAAGGAAGGTAATAAAAAATTCTCTTTTCATTTGTGGAGACTTCCAAGTTTTGCACTCTCCAAATTCAATCCAAAAGACATAGAATTTTTCTTTATAACAACTGCAATTTTGGTCCATTAACTTCCAAAATCAAACAAGAATCTTTGTTTCAAATGGCTTTCTCACAAAAACTGTAGGAAAATAGAACTGGTGAAAACCTTGGGAAGTTATCCCTTCAATGCATGATCCACTGTCCCTACATTATTTCTGTCAGTTGTTTATCTAATCTGGTCTTAAAAGGACTTCTGCATGAAGAGCTACAACCTTCTTCATACCTCACTGCCAGAATTCAGCATACTATACCATTTCCTTATGTCTAACAGAAATCTCTCTGGCCTCAGCTTAAACCAGGTATTTCTAATCCTGCCTGTGCAAAATAGGGAAAGACAAGCCCTGTCCTCTTTGCAACCATGCTCTCCATGTTTGCAGACAGACAGCATGATGCTCTTGGACGCTCTTTGGGCAAAATAAGTGATTTCTTGATCTTTACCACAAGTCCTGTTCTCTCAATTTCTGACTGCATGCAGTGGTCTCTCCCTATTCACTTCATGCCTTCCCTGGAAGTGTGGTGCCCAAACTGAACAGACTATTGTACCTGGGATCCTATTACTGCTGCCTGAAGAGACTGTAGGGGAGACCACACTGACTGCCCTCCTGCTTATATATCTCACTAAGTTATCTGGCTTTTCTGGACCACTACCACACAATCAGTCAGTTCACTTCTACTCCGTGTCCCTCAAGTCTTAAAAAATTCTTGGCCCAGGTCAAAGGAACTCTGAGTTTAAGGACATCTTTACCCTGCAGATGGCCACAGGCTGCAATAATGCTCTGATTTTATATGATCCTTCACTGAAACCACAAAGAACCTCCTGCAGAAATGAAGTTTTCTACACTAGTCCTCATGCCCTCACAGCATATCTACACAGTATGTCAGAGAGGATCATTTTAGAAATGTTACAGAAGACCTGAGCCATACAGGATCTTGAGCCAACAACCTGAGCTTTGAAGATTTATGCAAAAAAGAGCAGATCAGAAACCACCTTTAACTTGTAAACCATTTTCAGCTGAACTAGAAACCATAAAAGTGAAAAAGAAAAAATAGATTAACATTTTTCAAACAGCTTTCCAGGTTAGAGTAATACAATGGAGAGACTATGTCAGCCTAAATATGCTTTGCAGAACAGAGTCTCTTTTTGTGGGCTGAATACAGACTAAAGCCAGACTGTTCATCCACTGCATTTTTCTTTTTTTTTCTTTTTTTTGTTTAATATCTTATTTCCTCTCTAGTACCTGTGGCTTTTCTCTTCCTCTCACCACCAAAATGATCAGGGCAGTCCTTAGATGTTACAACAAAATACTGCCATTTCATTGAAATTAGCTTAAACCTTGAAGTAATTAATTGTGTGGTACAGTCAGCATGTGTGCAGACAAAGCCTAGAAAACTGCAAATTCATTCAGGCCCTAACATTTTAAGAAGTCCATGGATTGTCCCTAAAAATGAAAATATACAAGAGCACCTTCAGAAAAACTAATACATGATACACAAGAGCTATTTTCTCAATATTCTTGAAAGGGTCTCTTCCTGCCCTGTGCAAGATTTATCTGTTTTCTTCACCTTCCTTTATAGAAGTTTTTAATGTGTCACCCAGTCACTTGAAGGCAGAGCAACAGATTTACACTCATTTATACTTCTATTATAATTTTGACCATCATCAAAATTACAACAGAAGTAATTATTCTGGGTAAACTGAAAATTCAGAAAAATGGCTAATTATGTGCACATGGATTAAATGTAGAATGGCTGTGCATATATTTGTCTAAAACCTGTGGCGGATGCCTTGGGTCAATATTGACTTAGGGATTCCTAATGTATTTTTACAACATCTAATTTTGAGAGCAAAGTGTGTGCTGCAGAGAACATTTGGTATCACAATAATTAATCTGATTTCTTTGCAAACAAACAGATCACAAGTCCATCAGTAAACATTTAAACAGCTTACGGCAAACACATTCTACATGTCATATAATTTATTATCGAGTACTCCAGACTCCTAACTATTTAATTAAAACAAAGAGCCAGCCTGCTCTTCTTGCATGGACCCAGATACTTATTCTGCTCTCTGGGTATCAGAATGTGAACCACTTTAATGCATCTAGATCTGTATCCAGAGCTAGAAGCAATAAGCGTTAAATAAAACCTAACAAAATTGACTTTGAAAGTAAAAACAGCAAGCTTTAGATTCAAGACAAATACAAATGTTTCTAGAGAAATATAAGCAGTTTTCTTATTAAAATTAAAATATCTAAAAATAACATCTTCAACACAATTATTTTTTCTGTAATTATTGATAGATTTTTGTCTTGCTAAATAAATTATACTGGTAATTTAAAGTTACAAGAGAAGCCTTTCCCACAACTCAGAGATGAAAACAGATTAGAGAACAGACATAAGCAAATCCATACTTACTACACCACACCTGTTAAAATGACGTTGTTTTAACAGAACTTCCACCTTTGGAAGCCTCTTTGAATATGAAGAATAAACTTGTATTAAAATTTCAAAAGTACTCGGTGAAAAATCAAAATATATTCAAACCTCCAATGAGCAGGAATATTAACTGGATTTTATGTGGCACATCATATCACCTATACTAAAGAAAAAGTATGGGTGATATTCTATTCTTCAAAAAAGACATGTAACTCCAGCTCTGCCTCCTATCTAATTCTGTTGTTCAGTCAGGATTAAGTTCTTCTTTCTGAGGTGAACTGGTTTTGGTGGTGGCTTTTTTTTTTTTTCATTTTTAGTTTGTTCTAATTTCCCACAGAGTCAGTAAGACACTGAAACAAACATGGGAATTCACAGCATTAGAATTGTGAGCAATGGTTTATGACTAGGCCACCTGTGCTGGCAAATCCTGCTTGTCCACGTGCAGTGCAGGTCGCTTACAGCAGCAAAGACAGGTCCCTCCTCTGAACCACACCTGTGAAACCCACACAAGATGCCTCTCCTGGCCAACACACATCTGTCCCTAGAACACTGGCATGCAGCTGTTACAGACACCAGGTGCTACATCTGCCTCAGCAAACTCTGTGCTGCAGATGTGGTCCTTGATGTGGTCCTTCTGTACTGATAGTCTACTTTGCCTGCATGCTATTTAGCTGATGTTTGGCTGAGTTTCTGCATCATTTTCATCAAGACATTATGTATTTTTAGAAAGAGTGTATAGTTCCCTGTGTGCTGAGTTATGGATGATTATGGATGAAGTCACTGAGATGATGCCTGTGCTTACAAATGTGCTGGTATTTCCTCCTTGATGATACCATGTACCTAACAGATGTGCACACCAAACTAGTAGTCCAGATGTTCTCTGTCTGAAATCATGCTTTAAAATTAGCAGTATTCCTTACTGCAAGAGCTGTCTTCTAATTTAATAACGTAAGAGGAAAGTTTGCAAAAGATCACAGTCTCCAAACTTTTGCTTTTTCAAGAACACGGAAACATTTCTGACCGTTTTTGCCTCATAGGACACAATTAGGAAATCCCTAACTTTTAAATGAAGTGAAACTGTGTGCTTGCTTGTCAAACCCACCTGTGAAGTGTATGTCTCCCTGAAGGTCCATCCCTGAGGTGACCAGAACTAGGTCTGTAATTCAACCCCATCAGCAGTACCGCCACTTTCATATCCTTACCTGAACTGTTCGTCCTGCGTTGATGTGCTCTTCATGCAGTCTGTCCCAGAGCCTGCATCTCTGATACTAAAACAGAGGAAAAGGACTCCTCAGAATTGCTATTTTTACCAAGTGGCTATGCAGAAAAAAAGCCACCTCTGGTAAATTATCACTTTAATTTTCCAAAACTGAAAGTTGAGTCATAAACAGTTCCACTGCAAAATTAGAGATATAAATAGCAATGTATTTGTGAAAAATTTTGTACAATGTATTTACTGAATTACAGACAACCAGGGTTTCTGTATCAGTTTTTAACATCCAAGTGATATTGCATCCTGACACTGCTGTGGCATAAATCACTTGGTGGGCAGTAGAACAAATGGCAGAAGAAGGAGAAAGGTGTGGAATAGTGGACAAACAGCACTGGTCATACAGGACAACGAGGTATCTGATACTACTGACATGGGAAATGGTATTCATTACACAATGCTGCTGCCTACATTTACACTGAACATTTCTATATAGTTACAAACACAGCTAGAAGAACCATCAGGCCAGATCTGGCACCTCCATGAGGCTCCACTAACTTTAGTGGGAAACTATCCATACAGTACTTCCCATGGGACAGAGACCAGACCAACTATTACATTAGCAGAGAGCAAGTTTGGCAAAAGAACTGCATATTATCACATATCAACCCTTCCATCAATCAAACAAATCAGTGCCTGCTACAGGCAGTTGACACAAATAATATAGAGACTTCAGCATGAAAAAGAGTAATAAAGTAAGAAAAGTAGAAGCTGTGATTCCTGGAATGTGTGCTGAAACTATCAAAGAATGTATTTACCACATTGGATAACATTAGAATATTTATTTAATTATTTAGATAAAAGGGCAAAATATTTACCATGATTTCTAAGGTATTTTTATGTAAAACTTATTTCCTCAATTTCTTAATAACCTTTGCTACCAATAAAAAACTTTATCTATAGCTTCTATCTTTCCATAATTATTTTCATAATTTTAGATACCACAGCAAAAAAGATCATAAGTTATCATCATCATTTTACTCAGTTTCCTAAAATACAAGGAGAAATCTAAAGTTACTACTTATTTTCAGAGCAGAAAGTTCTTTCATGTTAGGACTTTGTAGTGCTATGGAAGATAAAAGGTTTAGTGTTCAACAAAGTCAGATTAACGTCATTCTTCCAGGAAACAGAGTAATAATAACATCTGAATAAATTGCTATGCCATTAAAATTACTGCCAGTGTTCTTTAAAATAAAATGGACAGAAAGCCCTGTATCAACAGTAGATCTTCCAATTTAGTCAAAGAGTACTGAAACAGGAATTTCTGAGGTTCTAGGGAAAAATCACCTATTTGACTTCAGCTGACTGTAATACATTGTCCAAACAACTAACAGTAAAAAATCCTGTTACCAGTTAAGAAAAATTCCTCAGGAAACCTTTACTGCTCTTCATAATTTCTTCTAGAGATGCTCAGCACATTCATCTGCTTTGCTTCAAAATTCAGAATATGCTAGTGACGAGTCCAAAGAATCCAATGACTTAACACACTGACATTCACATGGTCAGAGAATTCCTCCTTGTTGACTTCTCTTTGTCATGCCACACAAAGTAGGCCACACTCCTGGACAGTGCTCACCCTGGGGCCTCAAGGACAGTAAAGCTTGAGAAGAGATGGCATTGACATTACTTATTGTGGAAACTGGGGCTGTTCAGCCTGGAGGAGAGAAGGTTGCATGGAGACCTCACTGCAGCCCTCCAGTATCTGAAGGGGGCCTACCAGAAAGCCAGAGAAGGAAACTTCACCAGGAGCTGTAGTGATAGGACAAGGAGCAATGGGTACCAACTGCAAGGGGGGAAATTTAGGTTAGAGATTAGGAAGGAATTTCTTACTCTGAAGGTGGTGAGACACAGGTTGCCTAGGGAGGTAGTGGATGCCCCATCCCTGGCAGTGTTCAAAGCCTGTTTGGGTAAGGCCTTGGGCCTAGTGGAAGGTGCTCCTGCCCATGGCAGTGGGGCTGAGACTAGATGATCTCTAAGGTCCATTCCAACCCTTTAACATTCTATGATCTTGTCCTGAACAAATACACGTAAAACTAAGGGAAGTCCAGGAAGTAAAAACAGCTATGGAATCCTAACCTCTCATGTCAGGTCCAGGGAGAGCCATAAAAATGGTCCAAGGGCTGGAACAGCTCTCCTGCGAAGAAAGGCTGAGAAAGTTGGGATTGTTCAGCTTGGAGAAGGCTCTAGAGAAACCCTATTGCAGCCTTTCCATAAAGAAAGAGGGTTTAGGAGAAAGACAAAGACGTTTTACTAAGGCCTGTAGTGACTGCATAAGGGGCAATGGTTTTAAATGTTTAGAGGGTAAGCTGAGACTAGACATAAGAATTTTTTTTCTGATGGGGCTGGTGAGGAAGTAGAACAGGTTGCCCAGAGAAGCTGTGAATGCCCCAGGCCTGGAAGGCCTAGGTTGGATGGGCTTTGAGCAACCTGATGTAATGAAATGTGTTCCCACCCCATGGCAGGGGGTTGGACTAGATGATCTTTAAAGATTTTCTTCCAACCCAAATCACTCTATTGTCCCATATTTCTGTGCTATTTAATCATAATTGTGCTACAGCCAAATAGTTTGTATTCCACAACAAAAATATAAAACATTAGGTTACTCTCAGACACTCAGGAAATTAATCTCTTTTGCTCTATGAATATTCTCTTGAGAGCCCTCTTTAGAAAGAAACTTTCATGCTTCTGCTTTGGATCCTTTCCACCTCTCCTTGAAAGTATCCAGTGGACATGGAGAGAACTCAGAAGTTTGTCATACTATCTCCTGCTAAAAGCTCTTCAATAAATGTCTTACACCAACATCCACACTCAGATAAGACTGCAGGAATACTCAGATACCCTCATTTCCCATTTTGTGTCACCTTGACATATATTCCCACCACAACAATGGTTCCCAGCCAAAGGTAAAAAGTGTTTCACACAGCATCTTTTAAAACAGGTACAAGAAATGAAACTGAAACAATGAAATGAAATTTTTCTCTCTTGAAAGCAAGAGAGAGTGTCTTACAGCACTTTTTTTTTTTGGAAAGGATTGTTGCATAACACCAACAGAGTCTAGGGCAGTAAGCCAAACAAAATCTCCACCTTCCTGTACTACCAAGTACAGGAAGTGTAGTACCAATGTACTACCAAGTCAATTGCTGTTATCTAACAGAGACTTAGAGACATCTGTACCTCTTTTGGATACACATGAATTTTATTCCCTCTTGGAGTGAAAGGCCATCTAATCCATGGAATGTGCTGTAGAAAACAAGAATTTTCATAGGGAAAACATGGAAAAAAGAAGAATTACAGAGAACTTATTTCTTAAGGCTATAACTTTAAAGTCTTCCAAAATGGTCATATAGAAAGTTGGACTCTCATATAGTTGAGAAGCAATGATGATGAATTTATGGTAGCCACTTCCTCTGGAAAGGTATATTCAAGGTCAAATTTCATTATATATTGATTTTATAGTTTCTTCAAACAGTGATTTAGGAGATTAATTGTTTGGACTATCTCTGGAACCTAAGGTTTAAATCAATATTCATGAAATGAGGTTAGAGATATTGGCTTCATCATAAGTAAATAATGTTGCTGCTCTAAGCAATTGGACATAATTAGTGATTTTTGCTTAAAAGTAGCCTGTAAAATAAACAGAATCAGATTCTATAAAATTATCCTTTTACCTCTAGGGATGTTTGGCTTGCATGAGAGAAAGTTAATTTTACAAAAACTATTGAAGAGAAAATCACCATGACAGCTCACAAAAGTACTGTAACACATTCATTATGGCTAAAATTCATGTAAAATATATAATATGTGAACTATCATACAAGTATTTCAACCAAACTACTGCTAATATTGGTGTTTACTATAAATGTAAAGGCCTTTGTGCACACAATTACAAATACAGAACTTTCATCTTTAGCCAAATTTGAATCAAAGCATTTTGTTATCAACCTCTCATCAAAAACTCTACATAATCTTTCAGTGAGACTGCTTCTATACTGCAAAAATAACTACATTAGTAAAAAGTGAACACTAACCTTCTCAATATTTATTTGGTGTTTTCTTAACCTTTCCAAATCTGTTGGAATTGCCACTTTAATGAATTTCTGAATTGCAGGTTCGATTCGGCGGAGTTTAACTTTTTCCTCATCTTCAGACATCCTAAAAGCAGCTTTCAAGTCAACAGTTGTCCAATATACCTTCACCAAGGTAAAAACCCCTAAAAACAAACAAAAAAAAAAATTAAACAAGAAAGTTAAACCTGAATCATTTTTTAAAGAAATCAAAATAAGATAAACCTGTCTTTCTGATAACCACATATCCCCCAAAACCAAAATTAAGCAGTATTAATATCTGGATGTTTGCATTTAAATGTATTATCTTTACTTATTTCCAGGCTTTGGGGATAATTTTTCATAAAACTTAACACTAACAAGAAGAAAAAAAGCAGCTAAGTAATTAAGGCAGAGGCAAATGTTTTACAGCATAATGATACATAAAAAGGTTTGGAAAAAACCTTCCAATTAGATGCTTTGATTGATCAGAATTCACATATTGCCAATTCTCATTCAGAATCATCCTAAAATTTGTAAAACGTGTCCTGAAAACACACCAGAATATAATTAATTTTGGGATTCCATTTCCTGGAAATGTTAAGAGCTCCTGAATGAAGATTTGCACTCCAAATTGCATATGTTCCCTGCTGACAATGACTAACTAAGGCATCACCTAACAAGGGGTATAAATAGGCTGCTGAAATATTTGCAGGACCAGTAGGCACATAAGCAGCCTGAATTCTGTTCCCTGCATGGTGCAAAACATAATTTTTGAGTTTCATTCTCTGAAAGTGAGATGTGTAGTATTGTATGCAATAACATTTATCTATAGAGCATAGGAGTAAAAGAATTCATAAAAGAATTCCATCATGCAGCATGCGCACAAGGGGAAAGAAGACACGTATGAGAAAGTTTTGTCACAAGTGTCAGTAAAAAGACACGTGCTAACTTGGTTATATGGAAGTACCTGAAGTACATCAGCTACCATATCAGAAAGCTTTCCCAATTTTTCTCTTTCAGTAATAAACTGATATAAAGTAATTAACCCAGCATATTCCTCCTGGTACAGGTGAGGCACGGCAGAACTAACAGGTTAAAAAACATTCCTCTTTTTCCCACAGCCACACATATTATCAACAGTGAAATTAGACATCACTTTTCCCACATCTGCCAAGGGTGTGAAAACGCAGAGGGAGAGTGTTGGTGTTTTTGTGAGAGCTGTGATTCCTGCAGGTAGGAGAACATGGGGGCAGACTCCAGCTGATGGCACTGGGTCTTTGCTCAGTGTTCAGCCCCAGCCCTCTTGTGCAGGCTGCAGGGAGCACACCTACAAACCTGCTCCAAACTCAAAGCAGCCAAGTGGGAAGCGTCCTCCAGCAAGAAAGGGAAAGCACTTCTGGTACAGAGAGGAAGATGGTTGCAAATAAAACAATGCTGCATTTTTCAGAAGAACAGAATGCTAACAGGAGACTCTCCTCCTTTGATCTACCCCAATCAACAAAGAAATTGAAAACTGTGGAAAGCTGAATGCTTACTGAGAGTAGACCAAGTTAGGTGAAGTCAATCTTTAAGGTTTCAATGACACATCTTTTCTTTTTCCAGAACCTCAAAAGGAAATTATTTCATCAACTGACTTTGCAGTCATTGCTAAATCATACCCACTTCAAATTATAAAGACACACTATCAAGTGGTTTTACAAATTCCCTTCTAACCCAAGGCATTTAATAATAACCTTCAAATAAACATGCAGTGGATGGGTGACCTCACACTTTTCAGGTTGCAAAAAGAACTTTATACCTTTTGCATTGATTCACTCTTTTCACCATTCCAAAAACAGCAGTTTAAATGCAAGCTGATAAAAAATACATTCTATTGTACCTTGGTCACTATAGTCCCTAACTTGTGAAAGAGGCACTCCTAGATCACAGTTGAACTCTATTCTGAGTCTAGAACTGATTTTTTTTTATAATGTCCAAAAGATAAGAAGCATCATACTCCAAACTGCAGTACTTCCTCCTCAAACAGACATTTAATTTCCTGGCAGCTTATACACTAATCCATGAGTTTATGAGCTAGAATTAATTAAAAATTGGTTCCCTAAAGATATTTGATAGCCATGTCATGCTTTTCCTTAATTCGGAATCATCTTGAAGAAGTGTTGATGCAAATTCTTCAAATGTGTAACACAACATGAACTCCCAGAAACACACAGCCCATTAGAAGAAATACAGAGACTAAGTTAAATTCACCATAACTTTGTTCTTAACCTTTCATGACATCTGGAGACTGATGAGAGTCAAAAATGATAGTTTAGATGACTTACAATCTGGAGCACTGTGAAAGCAGAGTTGATGTAAACAATGGCCACGTGCCTTGGGTAGATGATCTGAAATCTGAATTTTGAAGACTTGGCTGCATGCAGAGCTCTGGCTAATAATTTTCTTCTCATTAAGAATTTCCTGACAGTAAAGTAACTTCCATGACAGTGTCTACTCTAAAGACGCTGCTGCCTAAAATTCACTGTGTAACAAATTTGAAAAACTAAGAAAGAAATATAAAAACCCCTTACATTCTCATCAGGTCTCGTGATTAATTTTCTTTCAAATAGTATACTAGCTTCTGCAACAAAAATTCTAAGCCATAAATTATCAATGCAATGTCTTACTTTTTTTTTAACATTCATAAAATATTAACATTAAATAAATAAAATTGGCGTTATGCATTTCTGCTTGTTGCTGACGCAACTTCAAGGAAACCTTCCATAGTTTACATGATTTATGTTCTCCTAAACATGATTTTAACAACTGATTTCTGAAGCAATAATGCCTGTTCTTTCAGTAATCACAGAGTAACAGGACAGTTTAGGTTGGCAGGGATTTTCACATGCCATCCAGTACAAGCTGAATCAGATGTCATTGCACAGACCCTTGTCCAGTGAAGTTCTAACACCTCCATGGATGGACACTCCTCACTCACTAGAGCCCTTCCTTCAGTGTTTGACTATTGTCCAGGCTAAAAACAAACAAACAAACAAAACCACAACCATGAAGACCCTCCCTGTAGCTAAACCAGCTTATGTCCAGTGCTGCTCATCCCACTGTCACACACCTCCAAGAGCAGCCCGGCTCTACAGCTCCTACCCACAAGAGCAAGATCTCCCCTTCCTTCACCTTCTCTTAAGGCTGACCAAACCCATCTCTCTTTCTCCTAGAATGCCATGTGCTCCAGCCCCCTGACCACCACAACACCAGGGTCCTTTCCTGTAAGGCTGCCCTCCATCAAGTGTTCCCAACCTGTTCTAGGTGCAGGCTTTCTTATTGCCTCTGCCGGAATTTCTGAGGTTTCTGTCTGCCCATATCTCCATCCCGTCAGGATCCCTCTGAGCAGCAGCCCTGCCTGGCCCATGGACAAGTGAAAACACTGCACTCAGCTTCAGCTTCTTAGGGAGGGGAGGTGCCTCTGTCCTTGGATCTGAGTATCAGTGACTGAAATAACTCTAACCCAGAAGTGATCAAGACTGAGATGCAGAATAACTTTCAGTCAACTAGGTAAATAAAAAAGACACATCCAAAGCAGGCTGCAGCAGCACAAGTCACATAGTTGCAGTCAAACAGAAGTAAAATTCTTCCCAGGTATGGTAACATAGTCGTTACTTGTTATGAATTTCAGAAATTGCTGCTAACACACTTCAAACGTTAATACTCATGAACTTTTGCTTGTTAACACTCATGAACTTTCGTTAAACTGCTTATTGTTCTCCCCTGAAACCCAGTACAATACACAACAGACCTCAGGAGTTCTGCTTGCCCAGGGAAATACAATGTAATTCACTGATTTGATTTTAATTCGCTCACAACACTTTAGACAACCACTGCCACTACAAAAAGTACCTCCAGCATAAATGCCTTGTTGATAAGGGTTGAAAGGCCAAAAAGTTTTTCCTGTAAATAAAATTAACTGGAATATAAGGAAGTACAACAGCTTTCTCCCTTTCAGGATGTCCTGAAACATTTCCTAGAGTGGTACTGGCCCCACAATTGCAGTGATGCTATTGCCCACTTGGCCAAGGCCTGTAGTTAGTGAGGAACACACTCCTCCGGTAGGCTACAGACAAACTGCACTTCGGGACTAAATTACATCTTTTACTTTTTGTCTCTAAAATGAATCAAAATAAAATAACTTTGTTAGGCTGAAATAAGGCACAGTCACCAGCCCCAGCGTGTTCACAAAGTAACACGAAACTGCTTAGTGAAATAGACACGTGTGGGATCTCCCACAGAACACCCACAATCAGCAGCTGTACATGTCAGGCTGTGGCTCACAGTAGATCTGTGCTCTTGTGGATCACCTGGCAACACAAACTTGATCCAGGCAAGGTAAGGGCACGTGACTGCATTTTGAGAAATCAGAGCAGACAACAGGCATTTTGTCTTGGATTTGTATGTTTAAGCCAGCTGCAGAAGGGCAGAAAATCCCTAATGACTAACACATGAGCACCTTTTGCACAAAGCTGAACCGGTGGAGCGAGTCTGCAGTGGGCTGACGCCTGCCACGAGAGGCCACAACAGCTCAACCTGCAATCAGAGCCCTAATACTGAATTCTGACTATTAACAGAACTACACCTCTGGTCTCACCCCAGAACCATACAATCAATTAGGTTGGAAAAGACCTTCGGAATCATCAGCTCCAACCTATCAACACTACCCTGTCAACTAACCACGGCACTGAGTGCCACAGCCAGTCTTTCCTCAAATACCTCCAGGGACAGTGACTCCACCACCTTTCTGGACAGCCCACTCCAATGTCTAATTAACCTTTATGAAGAAATTCTTCTTGATATCCAACCTAAACGTCGCCTGCTGCAGCTTAAGATCAACAGGTTCTGGAGGCCTACCCTGCCAGTACCATGCCCTGGAAAAGCAAGGCGTGTGTGAAAAAAGGAAAAGCATAAAAAATAAAGACAGCCTTCAAGTCTTACATAAAGGCTTCAAGCAGACTAAACTACTTCTTTCTTTCCTGACTTACAGTTTTAAAAGCCTGGGCAATGCCAGGCTTAACAATTTGTCACGCTGCAAAGAGTAAGTAAACAAGACACCCAAGCTGGTGTGACATGTTCTGTCCCGATCACTACCCCACAACCCGACCGCGGGGAAACCTCGGGCCCGGCCGCTGCTGGGGGCACCTCCGGCTGGGCACCCCCAGCCCCTCCGCCGGGCCGGGCCGGGCCGGGCCGGGCCGGGCGCAGGACGAGCCCCCGCCGCTCCGCCACTGGCCCCGGGCCGGGCTGGGCAGGGCCGGGGTCAGCGGCGGCCGCCGCGGCCTGGCCAAGGGCCCGGAGCCGGGAGTCGCGGGGGGAGCCCGGCCCCGGGAGTCGCGGGGGGAGCCCGGCGCTCGCTCCGCGCTGCGGCTCTCACCGGCCCCGTGGCTCGGCAGGGCCCAGCCCAGGGCTCACCGTGCGCTCGCCAGGCCCTTGCTCGGCCTTTCTCTTCCCTTCGCCTCGCTGGCACGGGGAGCGAAAGCGAAAGCGGAGCCGCCCCAGCCCCGCTGCCCGCTGGTCCCCGCTCCCTCCGCCCCCGCCCGCCCCCGGCCCCCCAGCCCCTCACCCCCTCACCATGGGGCGGCCGTGTGGCGGGCGCTGAGCGCGGGCGGCGGCGGCGGCCCCGGGACGCTGGGCGGGAGCCGGCGCTGGGCTCCCCCTCCGCCGCGGGGCGCGGCCCAGCCCCCGCCCGCCACACGCACACCCCCTCCGCCGCCCCCGGGCCATCCTCCACGGGGCTGTTCCCCTTCGGGAACCGCCGGCCGGGGGCGGGAAGGGGACGGGGAGGAGGAGGAGGAAGAGAAGGAGGCAGAGAAGCTGTCCTGGCCACGGAGGGGATACCGGGAGTCTGGGATCAGGCTTGTCGGGAGGGAAAAGTTGATTTTTTTCTTCTAAAAGAGACCCAAAGATTCCCGGCAAAATTTTAAGAGCTTTTCATAGAATCATAAAGTGTTCTTAGCTAGAAGAGACCCACAAGGGTGATGGAGTCCAGCTCCAGGCCCTGCACAGGACCATCCATCCCCAAGAGCACCCATGTGCCCGAGAGCGATGTCCGGACGCTCCTGGAGCTCTGTCAGCCTTGGTGCTGGGAGCGCTTCCCTGGGGAGCCTGTTCGAGGGCCCAAACACCATCTGAGTGCAGAACCTTTTCTTGATATCCTGCCTAAACCTCCCCTGACAACTTCAGGCCATTCCACTAATACATTTTGAAAATAAGTGTAATCTGTTTGTGCCTGACGCACCGATTCTTGGATCCTACCCTGACACCAGAGCATCTGCCCCTGTAAGTGTGCCCACACCTCTGGGACAGGTGGAGCAGAACCTCCGAGGGCAACCTGGTACCACTTCTGATCAATTTATCACATCTGAATCAAAGCGTAAAACTGTCTGGTAATATCTGTAGAGCAACTGTGTTACGTCAATATTGGACCATTTTTTAGCTAAACATCAGTAAAACAAAGTTAAGAAAGATCTCCAGAGTAACAAATATGAATGTATGTTGATTGTGATGTTCTAAACAAGATTTATGTTATCTGTTCATCTGTTGTTCCATGACTTTTTTGGCCAGCTCCAATCTAATTTGGAGGAAGTCGTTATGGTCCTGTAAGTTTTGTGGATATTGATGTGTCACTGAAGAAATAAACCTAAATTTGTTTCCTCAGTAAAGGAATAGTAAGCAAATAGCTCAGCTCTTACACATTCTTGTAGCAACAAGCAGCCGGTCAGTGTGTATATATTAGCCATCCACTTTATGTAGATACAGTTCCAGACTGCTTGATAGGGTTTTCACAGGAGTAATGGAGAATAAATTTTAGTTATAATTAAGCCTATTTAGGGGCTGAAGAATCAAAATGAACAGAATCCCATGGCTTCATTTGTTCTGTTGTTCACAGTACTGCTTCTGGAATGGCAATGGAATACTGGGGAATGCCAGGGTACCAAAAATAAAAAGCTTGCATTGAACATATATTTTTAGAAGGTTAAGGAGGATGACACAGGCTAGCAGTTTCACAGTTTGACCCAGAGTAGGAGCAGAATCGTGGAAGTGCTGACCTTGGATAGCGTCATTAAATGCCAATAATTAAATGCCAGTCAACATATTTTTATGAAAAATATTTGATTAAATGTGTTTGGATTTAACTTTGGTAAATAAAGGTGGTAATGATGAAGAAATAGCGTCCATCTGGTGTGAAGCAGTATGGTATTCTCATAAAAACAATGAGGAGTGCAGATTCTATGTAGCTCCCAGAATCATAGAATTAGAGAATGGGTCAGGTTGGGAGGGACCACAGTGGGTCATTTGGTCAAACCTCCCTGCTCAAGCAGGGTTATCCTGCAGCACATGGCACAGGATTGCATCCAGATAGTTCTTGAGTATCTCCAGTGAGGGACACTCCACAACACCTCTGGGCAGCCTGTTCCAGTGTTCGGTCAGCAGCACAGAAAATAATTTTTTCTTGGTGTTCAGGTGTCACTCCCTGTGCATCAGTTTCCTCCTGTTGCCTCTTGTGCTGCTGCTTGGCACTCCCAAGCAGAGCTGGGCTCCATCCTCTTGACACCCTCCCTCCTGATACTTGTAGAAATTGATGAGGTCCCCTTGCAGTTGTCTCTTTTCAAGGCTCAACATAACCAGTTCCCACAGCCTTTCCTCATAATAAATGATAATAAGATAATAATAAATTATTCAGGTGGCAGTTCTTGAGAGGAGTGATTCTAAGTGAAGATTTGTCGCTAGGCTGTCTTGGTGTTATTCTTGGCCTGATGCTGTTATAAATCACTGACACAAAAATACCAAATGACTACTTTGCTCTTATAAATAGAGATAAGAGCAATTTGCCTAGATAAACTCCTTTGAATTGCTTTGTAAGCTCTTCTGCAAAAAGACTCCTCTGAAGCCAGTCAAACTGGAGGCCATGCATTCAAGATAAAGCCTTAAATGCACACCTGGAATCTGGGAGAGTGACTGGCATGAGACAGTGCTAAAGAGGACCTGGACATAAACAGCTAAACATGAGGTCTCAGAACAAAGCTTTTGATAGCTAATACTCTGAAGAAAACCAGAGGAACATCAAATACAACTGGAAGGGATATTCCACCTTCTTATAGAACTGATGAAACCATTATTAAAAAAATGCATTCAGTTTGAGCATTAACACTTCAAAGGCATGTTAAACACTGAAGAGAGTCCACAAGAAAGTTAGGAAAGGTGTGGAAAATGTGCATTAACATGAGTTATATATGGATATATATAATATATATAAAAACAATATAATCCAATGCAGGTGAGGAGGTACTTTTGTCATAAGCATAGTAGTACTTGTCTAAGTAGTACTTAGAGATATTTGAGGAGAAGTGTTGGTTTTCAGAAAATTACAAAACTCTGAAAGCAAATCTAGACTAAAAATGAGACTAGAAATGTGACATATCCTAGTTTGCTATAGGATCAAATTGTGAAGCTGTTTTAAAACAGTGCAAAATTGTCAGTAAAAACATGGAGGTTTTTTCCGAAGATCCAATGTAGTTCAAGCATAAACAGCAGAATACATTGGTCCAATGTGGATGTGGCCCAACCACAAGGTTATACACAGCCAATCCTTTCCTTACACTTGATGACTCCAGAAAAAAAACAAGAAGTCTACTTGTATAGCAGCAAAAGAAGGAACAGGATCACAGTATTTCCAAAAGGAAAGATGTGTGTGTGTGTGTGTGTGTGTGTGTGTGTGTGTAAGTTCTAACAGGCATCTTCTGAAGAACTCCTGGCACATTTCATTGTGAATATGACGTTCATGCCTGACTATCCAGTTCTTCTACCAGGGCTAATGCTGCTTTCCAGACTGCCCAGCAGTGACTTCAGAGAAGTCCAAATCTCCTCAAGCTAAAAATGACAATGCAAAATGCTATGTCACTCATGTAGAGATCATCAAAGGAACAAGAGTTCCACCTTCAGGTCTGGGAAAATACTACCTCTGATGGCAAAAGATATCTCAGGAAAAAAAAAAAAAGTGTAGATGGAGTTCAACTTCCTGAATTACAGACAGACTCAGACTTTCATTGCAAGTCAGTGATCAATTCTGAGTGGTTTCTTACAGATCTGATGACTGTGTGCATCCCTATATAGTTATCAAACTGTTCTGTACCACCAGTAAATATGTATGAGAAAATAATAGGGAATCCTAGAAAGGCACAGAACATTTTTGTACATCTGACTGAGGAAGAGCTTGCAGCATTTTCTATTTCTTTTTCCACATGAGCTCATTCATAGTTTTCTGATACATGGGTACAAAATAGGCAATTAATTTAACATGCTTAGCTCTATTCCCAGCAATCTCTCCTTACGCACAGACTCTCAGATAACTCATGCTGGGGATATTTCAGTGGGTGTTACTCAATAGACACAGAACTTCCAAGATGCTTACATTATGTTCCCAAAGATGTATCTTTTCCCAGTAAAGCGTTTCAAAATTCTGTTGCCTTTTTCAACATTATTGCTATAGATACACTGATTTCAGTGTCAAACGCCTTGTGCTGGCAAAAACCATTCATAAAGTTTCCACTGTGTCATGGAAAACAGCCCTTACTGTGTGACAGTGAACACTGCTCTCTCTCACAGTCTTTCAGGAGCGTGAGCTTCTTTGAAACAAGATCCCCTTTTAACATACATCCTTGGAAAAACAATCAAACTCTTTCCATAATTCTTGACTGAGGGATGTTCTTGCTGGAATATGTGGCAGTATTTAAAAAACCCATATTCTTGATGTAAGCAAAATACTGGGAAATAATTTGGGGGTAAACTGTTTCGTCCTGCTGGCAAAAGTCATGCTATAGTTTTTGACATTTTCTAGAATTCTGATCCAAATTTCTTTCCATGTACTTTGTGACAAAACCATCTAAGATTTGGTTGAGAATCATTTGTATACTACTGCAAAATTAAGGCTCTCAAATAGGAGTGAAATGGAAGAGGTTTATCATACATTAACATATTTGCAGTAGCAGTAATGCTGCATAGGGTGGAAAAGTAGGAGAGAAAGAAATTAGGGCATAGCAGATTCATAGAAGATTGCACTGGCTATTTGGGTCTTTCCCAGCATATTCACAGGTCTCACAGTGTGACCTTGATGCAGGAATGGTTTGTAGTACCTGCCACAGATCTACCCCTGCAAGGGTCACACAGGAAAGCCTGCACAAAGAGGATGGTGGGTACTGAGACTGTCTACAATGCCTGGTCTGCAGTAGGATTTCTCTTCAGACCAGAGCAGGGTGAAACAAACATCACTAGCTGGTGGGAGCTTGTGTAGCTGGGACTTAGGGAATGTGCACCTGCAGCGCTTTGCCTGGAATGCCTTAGCTGTCCACTGCTGGCATAATCAAAGGAAGTAAATCATTGAAAAATGTGCTGCTGGGGTTGTGGCCATACTTGGGAACTTATCCATGACTAGAATTTCATTAAAA